CTCTCACACACACACACACACACACACACACACACACACACACACAAGATAGTCTCAATAGCATGATCTTCCTGTCTCTGCATCCTGACTGTTGGATTACAGGTGTGCCACATATCCAGTTATACTTAGATTCCACAGAAACTCAAGTAAGAAAAGAACTTTTGTACCCCTTCCTCTTCCTGAACTAATCAAGTTGGGCTCAGTTCTGAGTTCATGGGAAAAACAAAACCCTTCTTTACAGGAGAACCATCAGCCATGTGCCAGCTGGAACACTCCCAATGGCATTAAGTAACTCCCCTAAAACAACAAACAAGGACACGACAGAGATGGCAGTAAGCTTTATCAGGTCTCCTTAAATGGACAATACCAGTTTTATTCCACTAAATCCACAGCACCTAGCTCCTTGTGGACACGCAACAGCAAAGGTTAGGCAATTAATGCCCTAATTTCTTTAGAAGCCCAAAGTAGTAGCATTAACTACTGTTAAAGCAGAGAGTCTTGTGTCAGTCTGTGAAAGACAGAAACAGACAAACTTTCCAACCTCCAAGACTGCTGTCTTAGTTACTTTTCTATTGCTGTGATAAGACACCACGACCAAGGCGACTTATAGATATATTGGGGGCTCACAGCATCAGACAGAGGGAGTCCGTGACCATCATGGTGTACAGCATGGCCTCAGGCAGGCACGGTGCTGGAGCAGTCACTGAGAGCTCCCGTCTCGAAACACAAGAGGTGGAGAGTAAGGATAATGGGTTTTTTGACCCCCAATAATAGGTTTCTCCACTGATGCAGTAAGTCAGACCAAGCCAAATTAAAGGGTATAACAACAAGTTTCTTTGAGCAAAGAAACTCCCAGGCAAGATCAAGGCTGGAGAAGCTGCACCCCCCAACCCCTCCAACTAAAGCAGGGAGACTTTATAGGTTGTAGGTAAGGGATGATGACCTGTTTGCCACAAGCTGGGTTTGTGCCCAAATACGGGGTGGGGAGGGGAGAGGATTTGGGCCGCTGGCCATAACAGGGGAGGAAATTGCAATAGTAGCCCAAACTGTGGAACTGGGCCGTTTGTGCCTTTTCTTTGTTGGAGACTCTCTGAGGAGGTGGCATCTGGAGAGAGACAAGAATGGGGCTTTCCAGGTCAAGAAGGAGCACCATGGAGGTTCCAGGTGAACAGAGAGAGCTAATCCCCCTCCTAGTGACACACCTCTTCCAACAAGACCGCGTCTCCTAATCCTTTCCAAACCCTTCCGTGAACTGGGGATCAAACATTCTTATATGGGAGCCTACGGGAGCCATTCTCATCCAAATCTCCACATTCATATAACTCCACAGACGGGTCCAGGATGTGAACAAGACTGAATTTCCCAGCCTATGAAGGACAAGGAAGCTGCACTCAGAGACCCGTGGCCTCAGCCTTTGGCCACTCCCCACCGTTCATATAAACACCCCAAATTCTAACAGTCTGCCTTTGAAGGAGTAGCAGTCTGCCACCACCGGAAGGGTGGGCAGCAGCGGGAACTAGAAAACTGAGAAGCAACTCTTTCATTCATCTCGCCGTGAGCATAGGCCCCGGGAAAGCCAGCTGCCTGTGTCCCAGGAGCCACTGTAGCCCTACAGTTCATGAAGGTCACAGGAACTACCATGCCCATATGGTCATGCACAGGCCTCATTTGCCACAAGGACCTGCCACTGCTTGGATGCTTATTGCTTCTTCATCTTCTACAATAGCTGCAGATCTACCTTGCTATTCCATCTATTGCTGATGGAATGGGATCGTTTAGTCCCGGTGACAATATGTCCCTGAGACAACATCTCAGTCCTGACTAGTCCCCATTTCTAGGAACCTGCTTCAGACACAGCGATCAGAATTGATCTCTGTGTCTTGCTCAGGCTGGCCTCAGACTCCAGGGGAGCCCAGGCCTGGTAAAAGGTTCTATGGCTCCTCAGGAGCATGGGCCTCACCATCCTGGTCAATACAATCGATTTGAGCCAGGAAGATGACTAAGTGGTAAACGTGCTTGCTGTGTAAGCTTGAGAACCTGAGTTTAGAGTCCCAGGACCCACGTGCAGCCAAATAAAGTGGTTTCCTCCTGTAATCCCAGCGTGCATGGGAGGTGAGACAGGAGACGCCCTGGGAGCTCACAGGCCAGCAACGTGGAGTGTGCAGGGCTGAACCGCAAAGAAGAGGCTCCATCTCAAACAAAGTGGACAGCTAAGACTGGCGCCCAAGGTTATCCTCTGATCTACCTACGCATGCGCAGCATTGGTGGCTCTGGGGCACCTGTGCTCACACTAGAACACACACAGAGAAAAATTTCAGGCAAGCAAACACGTAATTTGAACAGACTACTAAGTTTATCCTAGATGCTCTCTGGGAGATCAGGCCTTAATCCACTGAGAGTTCATGATAGATCTCCATGAGGGTGAGGAGCTGCCTTCAAGTCTGTCAGGCCAATGTTTAATCGCAACTCACAGCTGTTACAAAATTCCCAGGTGCTGCGTTCCCATGGTGTTCACAGTTTAGCTCAGTATCTCATAGGGGGAAAATCTTCTTTAATGATCTCCTGACACAAGAGCCACCAGCCATGGGTACAAAGTACACTGATAAGGTAGCTCGATGTTGGAACATTTCTGGACTGCCAGGTGTTTGCAAGTGGTGTGTGCAGCAGTTAGAACGGTGATGAATGCCTGGCAAGGTCAGAAACCATGTAACACGAACAATTGCCCTCCAGGCAGGTACTATTATGAACCCCAGCTCCTAATTTATCAAGAAATAGCAAAGAGAAGTAGCAAGATTTGAATCCTGAAGGTCTGACATCACAATAAGGCAGATCCAATAAGCACCCAGACCTGATTCTAGTTTCACCTTTGTGCTAGCCTGGCCCCCACCTTGGATAAGCTGCTTACATCCAGGGTCATATTCTTCACCTATAAGTTCAGAATAGTCCCACAGTGCTCCTGTGGACTCTCATCTTGTTAATGAACTGCCTACTAGACCATTTGTCCAGAACTAGGGAGGGGGAGCTAGGGAAAGGGCTCAGTCAGGAAGTGCCTACTACACAAGCCTGAGGACTCCAGTTAAGTTCCCAGACCCACTGTAAAGGGCCTAGGTGGGGCAGCACCTGCTTGTAATCCCAGTGCTGGGGAGGTAGAGACAGGTGTATTCCTGGAGCTCCTCAGTCAGCCAGACTAGCCTATGTAGCAAATTCCATGCCAGTAGGAGATCTTCCATTAAAAAAATAAAAGGGCTCTGGAGAGATGGCTCAGGGGTTATAAGAGCACTGGCTGCTCTTCCAGAGGTCCTGAGTTCAATTCCCAGCAACTACATGGTGGCTCACAACCATCTATAGTGGGATCTGTTGCCCTCTTCTGGCATGCAGGTGTACATGCAGTGCACTCACATTTACACACACACACACACACATAGTGGATGGCACCTGAGAAATGGAACATCCATGCACATATGTGCATGCCCCCCTACAAATAAATAAATAAATAAATAATTTTAAAAGGCTTATGATGCTAAAACATAAGAATACCCTTCATCTGGCAAATAATCTACCAGGCTTCCAACCACATGTGGCTTTGGCATCTCAGAGACCACCATCTAAAGAGCAAAGGAAAATTCCTTTAGTCATTGCCTATTTGACAGACAGTTTAAGTACACGGTTCTTTCTGTGTCACTACCATGGTTAAGCAATTGTACAATTAGGAAAATTGCAGTGAAAACTTACATTTTCTCGATACAATCAAGGATATTGTTGCCACTTGAATGCTGTGGGTTGAAGGTTTAGGACTCGTCTCACTCTGTGTTTGTGTCAAGGCCATAGGATTAAATGGAACAGGCAATTTAGCTGTAGCTTTGGAAGGAAATGCAGTTGTGATTAAAGGGCCAGCAGGTGTCTGGTAACTAACTACTTCTGTTTACATGGCATACAGAACACAGATATTGTGAGGTGGGTCCTAGACCTCTACAGAGGCTGATGATTTATGTACTGAATTACATCTTGACTTAGATATAACTTGCAATTTGTGGTTGGTGATAAGATTGCTAGTATTTATTTTCTCCTTTCTTTGGCAAGTTCTCAAAATAAAAGGAACTAGAATGAGCCTATTGTTTCCCTTCTGTCTGTTTACAGAGCTATAAAACTCTCAAGTTTGTTTTTTTTTTTTTTTACTAGATGGAGAGGAAAGATAAATTCGGGATAAAGTTTGAAATGATTAACGGTTCTCAAAAGGAGGTGCAAAATGAGAGCTGTCAGTGTGAGGAACGTTCATTTGTATAACCAACATTGTGTAGGCTAGCGATTAACGAGTGCCATTCTTAAGGGCGAAACAAGTCAACTGAGCAACTGGTAAAGCAAGTTCCGTTCCTCCTCCTCTTGGTTGCAGACTGTTCTCCACACAAAGCACAGCGCTGAATGTCAGTTATAATAGCAGGCATCAAACTCTGGATAATTAAAGAGCAGGCATCAGCAAGAATATCCCATCAAGAAGTGACAGTTAGCGAAAAAGCATTCCCCAAAGATCTTAGAAATGGAAACAGCTGCAGAAACAAACCCACAGCTGGAACCGTCCCAGAAGGCGCCCCAAGGGATGACACGATAAACCCACTGAGGTGTGTAAAGAAAGCATCAAGGAGGACCAGTACCCAGACATCCCATGGACGCAGCCGTACCCCTGCTCATCCTCTTGGCCACACTCAGAAAGGATTGAGTGGTTGGGCTTTTCCCACTGTGGGCTGGTCTAGGGCCCGGGTTTTCTTTTCCCATATGCTCCAAAGCCACCAGCCCCCAGGTTTGCGCCTGCGCTGCCCCCGCCTGGACGCAAGTTACTTAATGCCCTCCAGGTCAGAGTTCCCGGGTGGTTTGTGACTCCGGGTCAAAAGGAGGCACCTACCACGTGGGGCAGCAAGTAAACCGAGGGTGCGAGTGTAATTCGGAGACCTCATTTGCATAGATGCCTCGCCCATTCTGCTCACTACACACTTCGAGCTGGGCGGACCACTCCACTGCCCCGCCTATGGCTCCCCCACGACCAATGGCTGTAAACCACGTGGCCTCCAAAACAAGGAGAGAGCGTGACAGAAGTGCCTGCTCCTGCGCCTTCGGTGGCCATCTCGCCCCCTTCTGGTCTTCTTCCACTCATCTTGTGTTGGGACTCTCTAAGTGTTGCGTCCTGACTCACCAAACCTAGGCTCAGGCTTTTCAAAACCAGGACTCTCCTTGTGCAGACAAACAGGCTCTTAGGATCTTAAGTTGAAGCTGATTTCAGAAATTGGGTACCCTGGTGGCTGTGCAGGTGCAAACCGCAGACCCAGACCTGCCTGAGAGCTGCTCTCCTACCTGGACTCCTGGGAAGCTGTTGCAATGCCGGGATAGAAGGACGCCAGCCTTTGATGAAAAGAAGCCCGGGAGGAAACTGATTCACGTCTAACTTGTATTAATATTACTCCAATCCCTAGTGCTGCTGCCGATAGCTTTCTTCTGCTTTGGGCTGGTGTCCAAACAACAGGACTCCAGCAGCTTCTCCCATGGCGTCTCACAGTTAAGTAAAGGGCTGACAGGCTGCAAAGGGTTTGTACTAACGGAGTTAGAAGTAACTTTCCTACTAACTAGCTCAGTGCACAGCAGCTCCGACAGCTAACTCAGTGCCTCCAACTCTGTGCCTATGAAGCCAGCTCCTGGCCACACACTGTCACAGAACCCATGTGTCTGAAAAACACTAGCAGATGGTACTGTTTATAAGAGACTGTCTTTACTCCAAGGTATGTAACACCTTTGTCAAAAGTTAGGAGACTGTACCTGTGTGAGTTTATTTCTGAGTCCTCTGTTCTATATGTGGGTCTACATGATTGCTTTTGCGCTGGTAGTTGGTTTGGTTACTATGGCTCTGTGATATTTGAAATGGATTGTTATGACACCTCTAGTGCTGCTCTTTCTGCTCAGGGCTCTTTGGGGTCTGTTTTGTTTCCATGTGGGTCTTAAGATCATTTTTCCGGTTCTGAGAACATCACTGGGATTTTGACGGGGGTCGAGTTGAATCTGTATATTGATTTCAGCCCTATTGCCATTTTCACAATATTCATGGAGAAGAATGAAACTAGATCGGTACCTCCCTCGGTTCCTGCACAAAAATCAATTCAAAATGTGTCGGGGACCAGCCTCAACAAAAATACCACTTGTCGGGGTAGGGACATAGAGATCAGAAATATAAATAAAAGAATATAAAGATGGGAAAAGAATAAACCAGAAACCATAGAATGGTTGTTTGGTTGAAAGCACCACCCCGGCCCCCTGGGACCCCTTTACCCAACGAGTCGGGGATGTTTGCTTGGAAGTGTCACCCCAGCTGCTGACATCCTTATATCCAAAGAGTCTGGAATGTTTGGGTCCAAGCATCACCCCAGCCCCCTGGCACCCCAATATCCAAAGAGTCTGGGATGTTTGGTTGGAGGCTTCACCCAGCCCCTGGCATCCATTCTAAAATGTTTGAGTGGAACTTTCCATTCCAGGCCCCCTCCCCAGACTCCACCTTTGAAAAAGCCCACCAAACGGTGACCCCTCCCCAGGGAGGGTCAAGACCTCTCCCACGGGCTATTTAAACTGCCCCCCAGAGACCAAACATGTGGTCTTCGGGTTCTCCCTTTCCCCTCTCTGTGGTTTCCCCGTCTTCCTTTGGGTGGGGGCCGCTGAAGGGCCACCCTGGAGCGCTGGCATCCATTAAACCTGAGCTTTTTCTGATTCGGTTTGATTTGGTCTGATTTGGATTAATTGCATCGGAGGAGAGGTTTGTTGAGCTGTAAAAAAACTTTACAATGGTACCAGTAGAGGGTTCCAGTGAATACTGAAATCACCCACGATTAATTTCCAACTGCCTAAAATACCCCCACCCCAAGAAGTAGGAGTAAGATAAAAACTGCATTAACGTGATACAAGGAAATGAACAGGCTAGTCAAAGGTCGCGGGCTGCATTCATAGTTAAACATTCTATTGCTAGAACAAAACAAATCACATTCATACCCTAGACCATAACACCATTCCCGGGGTGAAATCCAATGTTATCTCCTTAAAGAAACTAGAACTTTAGTTGGATCCTTAGACTTTTGTTTGAGGTAGGAATATATCTCTTCTCTATTCCTGAAATACAAGGTCTGGCTGTTAGCCACACCTGCTGACAATAACCTTGAGGCGAGCAGAATTCTCTGAGCTGAATCTAGTTGGGACCTTGGTTTGAGGTAGAAACGCAATAACGTTGAAGGAATAGAGGTAAATTCCAACTCTCTGATGTTTGGTCAAAGTGGAAATAGGCTCACATTTTTGGACCTCCACCAGAATGGTTCAAAGACATTGAAGTAAGACCTGAAACTGCTACAAGGGAATATTGACAAAACACTTCCAGATATAGGCACAGGTAAAGACTTCCTGAAAGGCACTTCAGCCGCACAAGAGTTGACAAAGAGGATTAGGTGAAGCTGAAGAGCCTCTGTAGAGCCAAGGAAGCTACCAACAAAGTAAACAGCCGACAGAGTGGAGAGAACAACTGAACTTCAAGCGAGGGATCAATGCATAGGATGTATAGAAAGAACAACACAAATTAAATACCAATAAATTTCTCAATCAATAAATGGGCTTATGAACTAAACATATAGGTCTCAAAAAAGAGATACAATTAGCTGTTAAATATTTGAAATGGGTTCAACATCCTTAGCCATCAGAGAAATGCAAATTAAGACCACTTCGAGATTCCATCTTGCCTCACTCAGAGTGGCTGTCATCAAGAGGGGGAGAAGGTAACACATGCTAGCAAAAATGTGGGGGAAGAGGAAGTTTATTTACTCTTGGTGGGATGGTAATCTTATGCAGCCACTATGGAAGTCAGTGTGAAGGTTCCTCAAAAATCTTGGTGTCTTAGTTGGGGTTACTATTGCTGTGATAAAACACCGTGTTTTGTTGTTGGAGAGAAAGGGTTAATTTGACTTACATTTCCACATTGCTGTTCATCATAAAAGGAAATCAGGACAGGAACTCAATCAGGACGGGAACTCAAACAGGGCAGGAATCTGGAGGCAGGAGCTAATGCGGAGGACACGGAGGGGTGCTGCTTACTGGTTTGCTCCTCATGGCTTGTTCAACCTGCTTTCTTTATAGAAGCCAGGACCACCAGCCCAGGGATGGCACCACCCACAATGGGCTGGGCCCTCCCCCATCAATCACTAATTAAGAAAATGCTTTACAGGTTTTTTTAGGGCCTATTCTTATTGAGGCATTTTCTAAATTGAGGTTTCTTCCTCTCAGATGATTTCAACTTTTAAGTTGATATAAAACTATCCAGCACACGTAGGTATATATCAAGGACTCTAAGTCAGCACACCACAGAGATACTTGCACTTCCATGTTTATTGTTAGACTATTTATAATAGCCAGGAAGAGCAATCAGCCTAGATGCCAAATGGCAGATGAATAGACAAAGAAAATGTGGCACCTATACAAAAAGATTCTTATTCAGCCGTTAGTAGTAAAAGTGAAAATATAACATTAGCAGGAAAAATGGATGGAAATGTGGAAATCACATTAGAGGAAATAAGTCAGTCTCAGAAAAATACATGTTTTCTCTTATGTACAGAATTGAGATTTAAGTGTGTGTGTGTGTGAGAGAGAGAGAGAGAGAGAGAGAGAGAGAGAGAGAGAGAGAGAGAGAGAGAGAGGAAACTAGAAAGGGGATCACCAAGGGGAAAAAGAACCAAGTGACAAAGCCTGGTTTTCTTGGTTACTTAATGTTAAAGTTGAGTCTGAACTTATGCAGTCTGAATTCACAGCCAGGCTACCCCAGCTGTGCGGAAAGGAACATGTGACCTTGGGAACACTCCTGACCTCTTGGCTGACTGCACAGAGGTGCACTATGTGCGATAAGAGCCATTCAAGCTCTGAGCTTGTGGGACGCTGAACACTCACGATAGTGAGACCCTTGCTAACTGCATCAGTGACCTCTCTCCTTGCTGGGGTGAAAGCAATTTAAGGAAGAGTTTGTTTGATTCCCATTTTGAGGATACACATATCCAGGATATGTCCTGCAGAATGTCTGGCAGACTTCTTCATGAAGCAGGAACCCTGAAGGATTGTCTCACCTTTAGGCAAGTTCAGCAGTCATTTCTCTGTGGGTCCTGCATGTCCAGTTCATACAATATAGCATTAGGCAGTCCAGGCAAGAGAAGTTTATTGCTCAATTGACTAGCAAACTCCATAAGGAGTCTCTTTGATACCCATCTTCCTCTTGAAGTAATTGTTGCTACCAGGAGCAGATGTGTCTCACTGTCATGAAAAGTCCTAAGTTCTTAAAACATTTTAAATGTCATGTTCCTCTTTGAAAGATTTGAAGAATATCTATCTAACTGAACTATATCTCTATATATCTAGAAAACCTAACTAACATGACTACAAGCTTGACTATTATAGATGACTATCTATTAACCTATATTCCTTAATTATACATTACATTTTTAAATGAGTTACACAAACACAGTAACTTAATTAAGAGTAGAAATATATATGAGGGTCTCATATCCTAGCATATATGTTTGTGTATCTCAGATCCTAGTATATACACATGTGTGCATGTCTATGAGAGAGAGAGAGAGAGAGAGAGAGAGAGAGAGAGAGAGAGAGAGAGAGAGAGAGAGAGAGAAGCAGGAAAAGAATGCTGGCTCTTGGCTCACTTCCTCCTTTTTGTTCAGTCTAGGACCTCAGCTCATTGCATGGTGTCTCACCCACACTTAAGATGACTCTTCCTGCCTCAGTTCACTTAATCTAGAAGCTTCCTCACAGTCATGCTAAAAATCATTTTTCCATGGACCCGAAAAGCCCTTTCAAGCAGACAAACAAGATAGCCCATTGCTCTGACACGAGGAAACGGACAAAAATCTAGGACGAAGGTTAGTGCTTTGGACGGACACTATTCCTGGGAAAGCCACTCAACTGTGCTCCACCCGAGTTCTTGTTGAAAGACAAGGCATCCTTTTATCTCTCAGCTTCTCGACTGCTTCCTCTAGCAGCGCAGATAATCAGCTTCGAGTGTTGCTTAGGAAAGGGAGCCTCTCCTTACTCATCCCAGAGCTACAGACATTTTTTCTTCAACACCCCGGGTTGCCAGGCTTAGAGCATCTGAGATACTAAGTTTTGCCTTTGTAATCCTGTTTTATGAGGCTGGGTTTTTTTTTCCCCCTTTGAAGACTAACTCCAAGTCATTTAGATGCTTAAGAGCCTAGACATAGCACATTTTATTCTGTTAATGTGTTCTCCTCAAATGCCAAGTAGGGATCGCTCTGCCTTTCTAGGATGCAAACGCCGGCTTATGTGCAAACAGCTCACATTAAAGTGCCAGGCAAGCCTAGGAATTTTTTCTCTTGACTTAAAATAACTTTTTATCATGCAAAGGAATAACTTCTTCATGACTTCTCCAAAGATATGATTCACTGTAACTTGTCCTTATTCTCTTCCATGACCTCCTCCCACCCAAGATGGCCCCTTTCCTCCCACTAAAGACTCTCATTCTGCTTTCATTGTGTAGATGTATGTGTCTCCATGGTGATTCTAAAGTCCATCAAGTTGTTTGTGTATCTATATGAGTGTGTATACATTTATGTAATCTAGATTAAATGAGAGAGAAATATGTGATATTTTGTACTTCTCACTATTCTTTCTATTTAAATTTTACCATTAGTCCTGTTCTTCCTCTCTCCTCTATTTCCATGTCTGGGAATGGATACTGTACGCTCTTCTTTATATATGTAGGTAGGTATGAGTGTTTTGCCTGAATGATTATAATGTGACTGGTGCCTGTAGAAGCCAGAAAAGGATGCTGGATTATCTGGATCTTGAATCACGGTTGGTCATAAGTTGCATGTGGATGCTAGGAATCAAACCCAGGCCATCTGTAAAAGTAGCAAACTGCTCTTCACTGCGGAACGGTCTCTCCAGCCTCCTACCATACCCTTTTCAATTTGTTATGGCATTGCAGGCTTTTGTTGCCATTGTGGGAACTGAAGGCAGGACCTTGTGCATGCTAGGTAAGTGCTCTATCTCTGAGCTGCATCTCAGCCTGTGGTTATGGCATGTTTTATAACCCAGAATAAATTGCTCTCATAGTGAATGTTCTTTGAGTTCCTGAGAAGGATGTGTATTCTGCTGTTAGATAAAGAAGCCAAGACATGTTAATAATATCAAGTTGATAGGTGACTTTTTTTTTCTTCCAATTTTCACAGTATAGTGCTTTCAGGATAGAAAGTTTGCTTTGAAGTTACTTCACTCTTTCAAAAATGCATCTCCTGGGCCAGTGAGATGGCTCAGTGGGTTAAGGCACTTGCTGCCAAGTCTGGTGAGCTGAGTTCAATCCCTAGAACCCACTTAAGTGGAAGGAGAGAACTGACTCCAGGGGGCTGCTCTCTGACTGACTCATGTGCACAGAGGTATGCCCTTGCCCACACACATGAACAGGCACACACACCAAATGAATGCCAAGGAGTGTGCGTATGTGTGTGTGGGGGGGCGGGTGGGTGTGCATGCAGAGGCCAGGGTTGGCATCAGGTGTCTTTCTTTGTCATTCTGCACATTATTTTTTTGAGACTATCTTTTACTGAACTTTTTCCTGGAACTTAACTGATTCGGAGAGATTAACTGCCCGTCAAGTCCACAGGATCTGCCTGCCTCTGCCTTCAGGGTTACAGGCAGGGCTCCCATGCTCCCCAGCTGTTTTCCTGGGTGCTGAGGATTCAAAATCAGGTCCGCATGTTTTCATGAAAGCACTTTACCCACTGAGCAACTCCTCATCTCCCAGGTGCTTACTTTTTGACTGGACATTTTAGCAGTGCTGTGATGGCATTTGCTAGCCCCACCTGCTCATCTCCTCACTTCATGCATTGCTTCACCTGTCCACTAGAGGGCGCAGAAGTAATCAACTTTCAATTCTGTTTTTGCAACACACTTTGATGCGCAAATGTTCCACACATAAAATTAAAGAGTATGGGTTTGGTGGCTATTTTTCTTTTTTTGGAATTAGCTGCTTTTACATTTTGTAATGTACCTTTGTGTGCGTATGTGCAGGGGCCATGTGTGTGTGTGCATGTATAGGTCAAAGGGCACCCTCAGATATTATTGTTCCTCAGGTACTATTCACCCAAGTTCTCTAATTGGTCTGGGACTCACTAAATAGGCTTAATCTAGCTGACCAATGAAAACAAGGGTCCGCCTGATTCCATTCTACCAGCCCTAAGATTACAAGGGCTTGACAATGCCCAAATTTTTTTGCATGGATTCTGGGGATCAAACTCAGGTTCTTGATTTTCAGGGCAAGCACCTTCCAACGGCACCATTTCACCAGCCCTGTAATTCCCCTCTTTGGCTCTGATAACTTGCCTTGCTCTAAAGTATGCCTTGTCAGAACTTAATGTAGTTATTTCGACCTTCTTTTGATTAGTGCTAGCACCGTTTGTATATCTCCCACCCTTATGTCTTTGCATTTAAAGTGGAGTTCTCATAGACAAGACATACTTGAATCTTGGTTTTTAAATTATCTTTTTATCTTTTTATTTTGTGTTCATCTGTGCATGTATGTGTATGCATGTGGACCCACACATGAAGACCAGAAAACAATCATTGGAATAGAGCTGTCTCCTTCCAATGTCTGGATTCTTGGGATCAAAGTCACATTATCAAGCTTGTTGGCAAGCACCTTGACCATCTGAAATTCCTTGTATCTTGCTTCATGATCCTTTCTAATACTCTGTCTTTTTAAATAAAGATATTTTGAGTTTTGTCTTTGTTGGCTCTTTGCTTTTGTTGTTGTTTTGAGACAGAGTCTCACTGTGTAGCTCTAGTTGTCTTGGGACTTCCTATGTTGGCCAGGATGCCCTTCAACTCAGAGATTTCTGCCTCTGCCTCTGGAGTGTTGGGATTAAAGGTGTGAACCACCATGGCCAGCTGACCTTTTTTTTTTTTTTTTTTTTTTGATTTTCGAAACAGGGTTTCTCCGTAGCTTTTGGTTCCTGTCCTGGAACTATCTCTTGTAGACCAGGCTGGCCTCGAACTCACAGAAATCTGCCTGCCTCTGCCTCCCGAGTGCTGGGATTAAAGGCGTGCACCACCACTGCCCGGCATGACCTTTGTTATTTTTATAGCATAACTATGGATTATAATTACATATCTAGACCATTAATGTTTAAAGTGATCGTTGGTACAATTGGATTCCTGTTTACTGTATCTGTTTCTGTTTAATGCTTTTGATCTGTTTCTTTTTTTGTCTTCGACCATTTTTCTACTTGTAGTTTAAACTGAGTAATACGATTCCAACATATCGGCTGCATTATATTAAAAAATATTTTTGAGTGTTTATCTTAGAGGTTGAAATATACATTCACAACAAATACAAGCACATTTTCCAATAGTATACAACACTACCCAGGTAACATGGCACCAATGAGAACAGAAAAGTCCCCGTTCCTCCCTCCTGCTCCTTTGCATTTAGAGGCTAAATTCACCAGGTGTAGACTTCTAGGAGGGGTTTATTGTCTAGCCATGCTCTCAGGTTTCCACTCCATGCTTCTCTTGATTGCACAGTTTCTGAGGAGAAGTTGACACTAATTCTCTTTATTTTATTATCATGTGTACGTGTCTGTGTATCTACACCTGTGTGCAGTGCTCAAGGAAGCCAGAAGAGGGTATCAGATCCCCTGGCACTGGAATTACAGGTGGTTATGAGTTGCCTAATGTGGATGCTGGGGACTGAACTTGGGTCTTCTTCAAGAGCAGCAAGCGTTCTTAACTGCTAAGCCACCAATCCAGCCCAACTTTACTATTGTTTTACAATATTTTGGAATTTTCTTTCCTTGTTATTTGTTCTGAAAATTATTGTGAATTTACATTTCCATATGACTTTAATTTTCAATCAGTTTTAAGTTCCAAGAAAACATTGCTAGTTTAATTGGTTTTCACCAAATTTATAGTTTAATTAAGGAACTGTGAATATATTGATAAGATTAAACTTTCTTATCTATTAACTGGGCATGGCAATTTTGTAAGATTTGCTTTGTTAGAGACAGGGTTTGCTATTTAGTCTTGGCCTACCTGGTAATGGTTCTCACTATGTATCGCAGGTTGCCCTCCAAGCCGTAGTGATCCTTCTGCCTCAGCCTCTGAAGAACTGAGATTATAGGTGTTTGGTATTTTCCCTGCTTCTATTTTGTCAGATATTTAAGGAATGTTTTAACAAGGCTTCCTAGTTTTGTAATAATATTCTTATATATTTTTATTGAATGTGTTCCTGGTTACTTTATGGTTTCATTTGGCTATAGAATATCTTACTGCTCAACATAGCTATTTAATAGTTCTAGCAGCTTCTCAGCTGACTCCTTAGATCTAAGTCCACCTTCTCAGCAGTGTATAAATTCCAAACAACCATTTGTTAAAGATGTTGCAGACTCCTATCACCAATCTAAGCTTGCAGTCTACATCCTGGGGTACAAGGTACAGGAAACCACATGTGTTGATCATGGTCACCAATAACACTAGTGTTGTAGGAGGCTGCTAGTTCATTTCCCGGCTGCCTAGACTTCCGAAATAAACACACAGAAACTGTCCTAATTAAATCACTGCCTACTGGCAAGGTTCCAGAGTGTCTGTCTCTGGCAGCAGCTCCATGCTTCTCCCTGACTCCACCTCCTTTCTTCCAGCATTCACTTGAGTTTTCCCCACCTAGCTCCCTATCACAGGCCTAAGACAGTTTCTTTATTAACCAGTGGTATTCACAGCGTACAGAGTGGAATCCCACATCACCTCCCCTTTTCTGTTTAAACAAGGAAGGTTTTAACTTTAACATAGAAAAATTACATACAACAAAACAGGTATCAGGAAGAATTACAGTTATAATATTTATATCTATTTTATTTTTATCATATCTAAGGAAAACTATAACTATTTATTCTTCAACTCCATCCAAGACTCCAGAGGGATATAATATTACCTAAGTAAGCAGGAAGTGCATTGTAAGCAACTTCTAAAACTCTAGAATTGATAGAGACATCTCCCTGCCTGGACAGTTACCCAAAGTTCTTCTGTATCTTTGGAACATCCATCTTCAGCCTATAAGTCCATAATACCCCAGACTTTTCCATGAAGCAGGAAATTTTAAAGACAGTTCCACCTATGTTGGTAATTTGTCAGTCACTTTCTTCTGTGTCCTGCAGGATGTCTGTCAGACTCTTTCATGAAGCAGGAACCCTGAAGGATTGTCTCACCTTTAGGCAAGTCAGCAGTCATTTCTCTGTGGGTCCTGCATGTCCAGTTCATATAGCACAGCATCAAGCAGTCCAGGCAAGAGCAGTTTCTTACCCAAATGGCTAGCAAACTCCATGAGGAGCCTCTTCAATTCCCATCTTCCTCTTGAAGTAATTGTTGCTGCTTGGAGCAGATGTGTCTCACCTTTATGAAAAGTCCTAATTCCTTAAAACATTTTAAATGCCATATTCTGTAGTCTTTGAAAGGTTAGAAGAGTACCTATCCATCTGAAATGCATATCTGTCCATTAGAAAACCTAACTAACATGACTACAAGCTTGACTATTATAAATGATTATCTATTAACCTATATTTCTTAATTATACATTACATTTTAAATGAGTTACACAAACACAATACCTTAATACAGTCAAAATTGTCCTTAAATTTGTATCAATAAACCAAGATCCATACCAATGCAAATCTCTATAGCACATCTCCCTTTAAATTTATAAACAATCATTTAGGGAATTTGGGCATAGTTCTCTCCAAACTGCTTCCTGTTTATTTGTTGGGCAAAGTAATTTTTGGGGGTGTTCATGGTGACCTTTGGGGGATTTTGGTCTATCAAACCACATTAGTCTGGAAGGATTCCACAGGTTCTCATCCTCTGTGGAAACAAAAGAAGAACCTCTTTTCCAAAGCAACATATCCTTAAACTCAAATTTTAAAGTCAAGATACCTTTACCTTGGTTTAGCTTAGCAGCCTGTACAATGAAATGTCTCTCTGTACTTAGCTCCTTCACAGTCAAAAAATTTAAAGAAAATACAATAATATACATAATTCAGATTCTCTATGTATATTCCATCTTTATGTGGCTTGTTTGCTTTTACTCTATTACTTCTTAATATTTATTATCTTTACCCCTTTAATCTACGACTGTCTGTACTTTGTTTCTTTAAAGACTTTGTTTTATTTTTTAAAACCATTTACTTCCTTTTATAACTGTCTATACTTTTTTTCCCCCTTCTCTCTCCCAAGCCTATGTACAGTTATCCAACACCGTGACCCAGTTAGAGGTCTTTTTCATCTGAGTATGCTTTCCAGTACCCCACATCAGGAGCTCATAACCATCTGTAATTCCAGCTCCAGGGGATCCACCATTCTCCCTGGGCTCTGCATGCATGTGGTTTATATGCATACACACATATTCACACAAACGCACATGTGCACACACAAAATAAATTATAAAATAAAACTTTAAAAAAACAGAAAAAGATCTAAAAAGAGGGGATAACAGAAGGTAATGGAGAGAATGAAGGAGTCAAATATTACATATTTTCTCTTATGTGTGGTATACACACAACATACATGACATGAACACAGAAGGAATACTATGTGGGGGAAGAATGGGACTTGGGAGTGTGACCAGAAAGGACAATGGGGAGCACAATGACAGACATTTATGAAAATGTCATACTGAAGCCAATGATCTTTGTATGCTAAGAAAAATAAAAAGCCAGGTGGTGGCAACATATGCCTTTAGTCTCAGCATTTAGGGCAGGGGCAAGCAGATCTCTGAGTTGGAAGTCAGTCTTGTCTACAGGATGAGTTCTGGGACAGCCAGGTCTACACAGGGAAACCCTATCTTGGACAAACAAGTAAAAAGAAAACAAAAAGTCACTAAAAAAAAATAAAAATGAGAAAATTATTTATATTAAAATGATAGTGTGCTTCTCCCAGTCAGAAATTAAACCAGGAAAGCAGATAAGTTTAAAGTTTTTAGCCCTTGGTTAACATTTTGGAATATAGATTTTCCAGATTACTTTATGGATATGTGCAAATTGGTATATAGCTATGGCTGCCTCCAGACACATCAGGACACCGGGGGTTTTCAGATGAGTTCCCACCATACACCAGCACCCTTTCTCAGAACCACTGTGTCAGAACTCCTTGAAGAAGCAGCCTCAGAGAGGGCAGGCTGATCGTGGCTCCTGGCTTCACCAGGTACACTCCCTCAGACCAGGGAAGGCATAGCGGCTGGGGTGGCTCTATCCACGACTTGGTCACAACCACGCAGGTTAGGAGGCCGAGAACTGCACTGGAAGTGGGTAGGATTGTAAACCTCAGAGCCCAGCTGCCTCCATCTGCCAGCCAGACACCACGTCCCAAAGGTTCCACGGCCTCCCCAAATACTGCCACAGATTTAGGGACCCAGTGATCAAAACATGGGCCTGTGAGGGACATCCCACATTCAAATCCTAACAGCCCCATCTAGGTAAGATATAAATTTGCTTTAAGAAACTGCGGTGTCCTGAGGGTCTGGAGATAGTGTGGCTCAGTGGGTAGGAACATTGTTGACTAAGCATGAAGGCAAAAAAGGTCAGGTGTGGTGTGGCCACATAGAGTTGTGTGCTGACCTGTACCCTCAGGACTGTGTTGGGTGGAGACAGTGGGGCCACCGAAGCTTGCTGGTGACCTGCCTGGCACTAGGGTCAGTGTGAGACT